CCCCCCCCCCCCCGCTTGCCGCTGGGGGCCTGTCGGGCGCCCCCCAGGGGGTCGGGGCCCTGAAGGTGGGCGCCTCTTGGGGGGGTGTGGGTGGTCAATAGGGGATGGAGCTTTGAAGATGGAGGCCTATAGGGGGTCACGGGCCTGGAAAATGGGAGCCTGTAGGGGCCTTAGGAGGTCTGTAAGAGGTGAGGGTCTTAAAGGTGGAGGGCTGTAAGGGGTGGGGGGGTATTGGGGATGCAGGGGGCTCATAGGGTTTGTAGGAGGACTGCAGGGTTGGGGGGCCTGGAAAATGGGAGCCTATGGGAGGTTATAAGGTGAGGGCTTTAAAGATGGAGGGATGTAGGGGAATGATGGCCTTGAAGATGGAAGGGTATAATGGGGCCTATGGGAATGCAGGAGGCCTGTAGGGGATGGAGGGCCTGGAGTGTGGGAGCCTATAGGGGCCGTGGGAGGTCTGTAAGAGGTGAGGGTCTTAAAGATGGAGGGCTATAGGGGATGGGGGGGTGATATTGGGGATGCAGGGGGCTCATAGGGCTTGTAGGAGGCCTACAGGGGATGGGGGGCCTGGAGAATGGGAGCCTACAGGGGCTGTAGGAGGTTTGTAGGAGGTGAGGGTTTTAAAGATGGAGAGATATTGGGGATGGGGGGGGGATGATGGCCTTGAAGATGGAGGCCTGTAGGGGATGGGGGGCCTGGAGGATGGCAGTCTATAGGGGCTGTAGGAGGTCTGTAAGGGGTGAGGGCAAAAAGGATGGAGGCATAGAGGGGATGAGGGCCTTGAAGATGGAGGCCTATAGGAGACGTGTAGGGCTTGGGGTCTTGGGGATAGGGAGGCTATGGGCAATATAAGATGTCTATAGGGTACGTATGGAGGCTTACAGATAACATAGGAGACCTTAAATATGGAAGTGTGTAGGGAGTGGGGAGGAGGGGGGGTCAGTTGGGAGGGGGTTTAAGAGGGAAAGATAGAAGCCATAAGAGGCCTGTGGGGTGGGGAGTGTGCATACAGAGCCTATAAGGGCTAGAGGAGGTGATGGCCTTAAAGAGGGGATGGGGGGCCCATGGCAGCAATAGGGGGCCTATGGGGGCTGAGGGGCCTTGAAATGGGGGTCTGTAGGGGGTGTAGGAGGCCCGTAGGGGATGGGTGAGGGAGGTCTTTGAGGTGGCAGCCTATATGGGGCATAGGAGGACTATAGGGGGATGGGGTCCTTAAAAATAGGAGACTGTAAGGGATGTAGGAGGTCTGTGGGAGGGAGGGGGAGGGGAGGGAGCTTGGAGATGGAGGCCTGTGGGGCTATAGGAGATCTTTAGGGGGTGCTGGTAGTAGAGGTGGAAATATATAGGGGCAATAGGAAGCCTGCAGGGAGTGTAGGGGGCCTTAAAAATGAAAGTCTATAGGAGGCTGATGGAGGCTGCAGGGGAGGGGGTCCTGAAGAATGGAAGCTTATAGGGGATGTGGGGGGGATGTAGGGGCCTATAGGGAATGGGAGCCTTGAAGAGGGGAACCTGTAGGGGTTATGGGAGGCCTGTAGGAAATGTGTTTCCTGCAGGGGGGATCAGAGGCTTGTAGGGGGTGGGGGGTGTCTTAAAATGGGGCTCTCTGGGGAGATAGGAGGCCTATAGGGGCTGTGTAGCCATGCAGGGGATGGGAGCCTTGAAAGTGGGCTTTAGGGGCTGTGGGGGGTGCTAACAATGGGGCTGTGTGGGATGACCCCAAAAAAGTGCCTCAGGTGGGAAGGGAGCAGAGGAGACCCTGAGTGAGGGACGATCTGGGTGGGTGGGGGTCCTTGGGGCCCTGCCATGGGGATGGGGACCCTGGTGGGGTCTGAGCTGGGTTCTGAGATCAGCCCCCCACCCTCCCATACTGCAGGGTCTGATGCGACCGGCTGTGGGGGCGCCTCCCCTTTTGCCCCCCCATCTTTGCTCTGGAGGGGCTCCTTCCTTTAGCCCCCCTGTTTTTTGGGACCACCCTTTTGCTCCTATCGTTTTGGGCTCCCTTTCCTTTAGCCTCCTTTTTGGGGGGCTCCCTTTTTGATCCTCCCTCCTCCAGGCCCCTTCTTTTTAGGACCCTGCCTCCTTTAGCCTCCCCCTACCTTCAGGGCTGCCCCTTTTTGTCCCCCTGCTTTTTGGGGTTGCCCTTCTTATCCCCCTTCCTTTTTGGGACCCCCCCCTTCCTTTTTGGGACCCCTTTCCTTTAGTCTCCAGCTTTTTAGGACCTCCCTGTTTTTTACCCCCAGCTTTTTAGGACCCTTTCCTTACTCCCCCCTGCTTTTTGGGGCCACACGGTCTCCCCACACCTGCCGGCAGTGCTGCAATTTGGGGCCAGGCTCCGCTGCTCATTGCAATGCGTGTTGTGTAAGTACTGCTGCTGCTGTGGAGCTGCAGCCCAGAACATCCGTGGGGCTCAGCTGTAGGAACACGGATCCCAAAGGAGGCAGCCCTGACCCCCGAGGAGGAATCTGCCCCTCTCAGCATCCCTGCAGTGGTGCAGTTCTTAAATCCTCAGCTGTGGGGATAAGAGGTGAATCCTGCAGGGAATCCTCTGTGCCAGAGGAGCAGAGCTGTGTCCCGTAGCCCTGCCAGTGGTGGCCCCCTGGTTTTCTGCTTTATTTGTGGGGTTGGACTTGCTGCTCGCTCAGTCTTTCCCCCCCCGGCTCCTCCCAGCAGCCCTGGGATGTTCTGCAGTGCTTTGGGGGAGCAGAACCCAAAACTCCCGGAGCTGCGGCAGCTGGAAGGAACCTCCTCAGCTCCTCATCCAGCACCTCCCAGTCTTCCCTAAACTGGAGAGCCCGGCGCCGGGCCCAGTGCTCCGGATGGGGCCTCCCCAGTGCAGAGCAGAGGTGGGAGCAGCTCCCTGCCCTGCCGGCTGTGCTCCGTGCAGCCATCTCCAGGGAACCGGTGGCCACCAGGGCACGCTGCTGGCTCATGGTCACCCTGTAGTCAACCACTGGTCAACCAGTTGGCCACCATTGGCTTTCTTGGCCGCTGGAGCACGCTGCTGGCTTGTGGTCAGCTTTTGGTCAACCGTTGGCCAACTGTTGGTCAACCAGGACACCACTGGTGTTCTTGGCCACCATCAGCTGTTGATCAACCCTTGGCCAGCTTGGCCACAGGGCTGTAACTTCCAGCTCACGATCAACCATTGTCCAACCGCTGGTCAACCAGGATATCATCGGTCTTCTTGGTCACCAGAACTGCTGCCTCACGGTCAGCTTTTGGCCGACCGTTGGTCAGCCGTCGGTTATCCAGGACACCGTTGGTGTTCTTGGCCACCAGGACGCGCTGCTGGCTCACGGTCAGCCGCTGAGCAGCGAGGACACGGGTTGCATTCTTGGCCAGTGGTGCACACAGCTGGCTGGCAGTCAGCAGAATGAAGCCAGGCTCACCAAGCAGCTCTGCTGACAGGTGAAGGTTTGGAGCCTGGCAGCGGGATGCAGAGCATCCCTCATCCTGCAGCCCTGCTCCCAAGCTGCAGGATGTGGAGGAACAAATCTTTTCAGCTGAGCTCCTTTCAGCACAGTTTAATGGAGGGAAGGAGGAGAAGCACTGTTGGGTGGCAGCAAAGCTTTTGGTGCTGAGCTCCACGGGGAAAGGAGCTGTTTTCCCTCTTTGATCCGATTCCCTCTCACTGGAAACAGCAGAGCCGTTGATGCCACCAGCCCAACTCCAGGCTGCCAGCTGAGTGAGAGCTCCGTTGTTCCTGCAGACCCTGGGCACTGTAGCGTTGCTGCCAGTCACTCTGTGCCTGGAATGCTTTCCCAAGCTCTCCCTCTCATTTTGGGAGAGGAGCTGCAGCTGGAGCCCGGTGTCAATTGTGTCCCTACCCCCCTTTGTCACACCTGGGTTGGAGGTGGCATCGCGAGGAGGTGCGCAGGGAGATGAAGGATGGATGGGATGGTGGAGGGACGGACAGACAGATGGAGGGGTGGATGGATAGACGGACGGATGAAGAATGGATGGGGGGAAGGATAGATGGACAGGAGGATGAGGAGATAGATGGGCTGATGGAAGGATGGGCAGAGAGGCAGATGATGGATGGACAGACGGATGATGGAGGGATGGACAGACGGATGATGGAGGGATGGACAGACGGATGATGGAGGGATGGACAAACGGGCAGATGATGGGTGGACAGAAGGATGAATGATGAGGGAGGAATGGACGGATGAATGTCGGGTGGACGGAAAGGGGGAGAACTGGGATGACAGAGGGATGGACAGACAGGAGGATGGACGGACAGAAGGGCGAATGGAGAACGGCTGGGCTGATGGAAGGGTGGACGGATGAACAGATGATGGATGGACAGAAGGATGAGAGCTGGAGGGGGTGGATGACGGACAGACAGACGGACGCCAGCAGCTTTCTCCAGAGCCGTTTGTTCCGTTGCCATGAGAACCGGCGCTGCTGCGGCGACGGCACAAAGCGGAGCGGGGCTGAGCGCCTCGCCTTCAGCTCTGCTGTTCCCCCTCTCCCCAAATCCCGCAACCCAGCGGCGTCCCCACGGCTCGGCTCTGCTGCTGGGCTCCGCTGCGCGCTGACGCCGTGCCACGCTCCCACGTTTTGGTGAAGGAGATGCAGAGAGCGGCGAGCTCAGCGGCTTTGCTCATCCCTGCGCTGCGGGCCCGGCGCTGCCGAGCGGTGCTGCTCTGGGTAGGGGGCACCCCTGGACCCCCACCACCACGGTCCCCATCCCGCAGGTCCCTGCTGAGCCGGGCGGCCGTTCCTCCCCCCCGCGCACCGCGTGCCGCAGCTCCATGCGATCCCGATGGACGCGATCGCGAGCGGCCGCCTCAAGAGGAAGTTTGAGGATGCGGACGTGGGATCCCCGGCGTCCAACTCGGATGATGAAATCTCCAACAGCGACAGCGCCGACAGCTGCGACAGCGTCAACCCCTCCAGCTCCAGCGGCTTCATCCGTGAGTGGGATGGGGACAGGGATGGGTTATGAGGATGGGGTGTAGGGGTGGGGATGGGGTGTGGGAATGGGGGCAGTGGCTTCATCCGTTAATGGGTTATGGGGACAGGGATGGGGGATGGGGATGGGTTATGGGGCGTGGGGATCGGGTGTAGGGGTGGGGGTGGGGTGTGGGGATGGGGACAGTGGCTTCATCCATGAATGGGTTATGGGGATGGGGATGGGTTATATGGGGTGTGGGAATGGGGTGTAGGGATGGAGATGGGGGCAGTGGCTTCATCTGTGAGTGGGACAGGGATGGGGTATGGGGATGGGGTGTAAGGATCCATGAGTGAGATGGGTTGTGGGGATGGGGATGGGTGATGGAGTGTGGGGATGGGACAGGGATGGGTGATGGGGATGGGGGCAGTGGCTCCATCCGTGAGTGGGGTGGGGATGGGTGATGGGGTGTAGGACTGGGGATGGGGGGATGGGGATGGGGGCAGTGGCTTTTTCCCTGAGTTTCCTTGGGAACGTGGAGAGCAAACAGTGACAGAGTGAGGGGATGGAGTGTGGGGACAGAACAGTGACAGTGAGGGCATGGCGTGGGGATGTGACATGGGAACAGCAAATGGTGGTAATGAAAGGACTGGGGGTGAGGGATGGAAATGGAGGTGGGCACAGTGACGATGATGGGACAAGAGCGGGGGACAGCAAAGAGTGGCAGAGTGAGGGGACGTGGATGGGGACATGGGATAGGGATAAGACATGGGGACAGCAAACGGTGATGGGGAGGGGACAGGGTATGGGGACAGGAAAGAGTGTCAAAGTGAAGGGGACAGAGCGTGGTGACAAAGTGAGGGGACAAGCATGGGGATGGGACATGGAGACGGTGAACAGTGAGTGAGGGGACAGGAAACAGTGACAGCGAGGGGATGGAGCACAGGGGATGGGGACAGATGAGGGGAGAGGGCGTGGGGGTGGGACAGGGGTGGGGACAGACCCTGGCTGTGAGGGGATGCTGGCCTTGCTCCCCCCCCACGCACGCCCCTCGCAATCGCACACCTTCATCCTCAAATCAGGATCCCGCTGGCGCCTCCCCTACTGCAATACCTCACGATAACGGAATTAACGAGGCATTGGGATTAATGGGGTTTATCCTGACAGTATCAGAAGGAAGCACGCAGCCCATGCGGGCACGGCTCGGTTGCCGACACCTGCTCAGGGCTGCAGCAAAGCTCCCTGCCACCCCATCCCATTGCACCGGGAGGCGCCGGGGCTCCCGTTCCCATTCCCTCGTCCTCCCTCTTTGCAGCCACCTCCATCCTGAAGAGGCAGAAGCAGCTGCGCAGGAAGAATGTGCGCTTCGACCAGGTGACGGTGTATTACTTCGCCCGGCGCCAGGGCTTCACCAGCGTGCCCAGCCAGGGTGGCAGCTCGCTTGGCATGGCCCCGCGACACAACTCGGTGCGCAGCTACACGCTGTGCGAGTTTGCACAGGAGCAGGAGGTGAACCACCGCGAGATCCTGCGTGAGCACCTCAAGGAGGAGAAGCTGCACGCCAAGAAGATGAAGGTAGGATCGGGCATCGCCCTTTTTGGGTGCTGCTGGGTTGTGGTCGACCACCTGTCAGCCGTTGGTCAGCTGTTGGGCAGCGAAGACGCCCTGCTGGCTCGTGGTCAGCTGTTTGTCAGCTGATTGTCGGCTGTTGGTCAGCCGTTGGTTGACTGCCTGTCAGCTGTTGGTCAACAGTTGGGCAGTGAGGACGCCCTGCTGGCTCGTGGTCACTTGTTTGTCACCTGATTGTCTGCTGTTGGTCAACAGTTGGTCGACCAGGGCGCACTGTTGGCTCACGGTCAACCGTTGACCGGCTGTTGGTCAGCAGTTGGCCAATGAAAACATGCCAACGATCAGCCACTTGTCAACCACTGGTCAGCTGTTGGTCAAGCAGGCCGCGCTGCTTGCTCATGGTCAACCATTGGCCAACCGCTTGTCAACCGTTGACCGGCTGTTCCTCAACCACCGGCCACCCAGAACGTTGTCGGCCATCTTGGCCACCAGGGCGCACTGCTGGCTCCTGGTCACTCTGGTCCTTCTCCACAGTTCCCCTTCCAAACTTCTCTGCTGGAAATTCCAGTCTGGAAGGTTGTGGTACCTGAGATCAAATCCCAGCTCAACCCTTTTCCCATCCTGACCTCGTTATGGCGTTGTCTGGGGTTCGGCTTCATTTAATGTGACACGACCCTGGGATTAATCAGGCTGCTGCTGCCATGACAACGTTTGGCGGAGAGATGCAGAGCCAACACTTCTTTTTTAAATCTTTTGTTAAATTGAACTTTTTCTGCCACTTAAGCTATCGATGGGGAGCGCGTTATGGATGGGGTGGTGAGGGGGATCAGTCCCCACGTTTCTCATGAGGGTTCTTGCTGCTTCCCCCCCTCCTCGAAACGTTTCTGTTGCGATTTCTAGCTTCGTTCCAATCCCAAACCCTGCAGCTCCCAAGCTCTCCAATCCCAAAGCTCTCTCCAAGCCCCGATATTTTGGGAAGCAGTGACCTCCTTTTCCTTGAGCCGTTTGCAGCACGGAGGGAAGGAGGCAGAGGTGCCCTCCTGAGCGCTGCAGCGTTGCTTTCCTGCCTTTATTGCAGATGCGGGGTCCCGCAGACACGGCGCGCTCCTTCCTGCTGTGTCTGGGATGGGTTGGGGTTGGACTGGGTGATCTCAGACTTCCAAACTTAATGATTCTGCAGCACGGGGGACCCCGCGGGTCCCATCATGCCGTGCCGGGGGTCCGCAGCCTCCCAGCACGGCGCTGAGCGCTGACCTGACCCCGCAGCTCACCAAGAACGGCACGGTGGAGTCGGAGGAGGCGGAAGGGCTGACACTGGAGGACATCTCAGACGACGACATCGATGTGGAGAACGTGGAGGTGGATGACTACTTCTTCCTGCAGCCCCTGCCCACCAAGCAGCGGCGGGCGCTGCTCCGTGCCTCCGGCGTGCACCGCATCGACGCCGAGGAGAAGCAGGAGCTGCGCGCCATCCGGCTGTCACGAGAGGAGTGCGGCTGCGACTGCCGCCTGTACTGCGACCCCGAGGCCTGCGCCTGCAGCCAGGCGGGCATCAAGTGCCAGGTGAGTGACGAGTGGCAGAGGGCTGCAAGGGATCTCGGGGGTCCTCTGTCCAACCCCCAGAGCAGAGGCACGGCACTGGGGCAGGGCAGGTTTGGATCTCTCCAGCAAGAAGCGCCTCCCTGCTCTGCTGGCCCTGTGCCGCAGTGCCCCCAGGGAACCTTTTGCCTTCTTGGCCACCGGGGCACGCTGCTGGCTTGTGGTCAGCTGCTGGCCAATGTTACAGCATTGGCCTTCTTGGCTCTGAGGGCCTCGTGGTCAGTTGTTGGCCAACCAGGACGTGCTACTGGCTCACGATCACCCTGTGGTCAACTGTTGGCAATGAGGTCACGCTGATGGCTTGTGGGCAACTGGAGGGCAGGTGGAGGTTGGATGTCAGGGAAGTTGTGTGCTGTGAGAGCGGTGAGGGGCTGAACAGCTGCCCAGAGAGGCTGCGATGCCCCGTCCATCCCTGGAGGTGTTGGAGGCCAGGCTGGATGGGGCCCTGGGCAGCCTGGGCTGCTGTGAAATGTGGAGGTTGGTGGCCCTGCGTGTGGCGGGAGGTTGGAGCTCCGTGATCCTTGAGCTCCCTCCCAACCCAACCATTCTGTGATTCTGTGAACTGTTTGCCAACTCTTGGCCAAGCAGAAACCCATTGGCATTTTTGGCTGCTGGGCTGCACTCGCTGGTTTGTGGTCAACCATTGGCCAAGAGCAGCCCGCTGGCGTTCCTGGCCACAAGGGCACACCGAGGGCCTGCAGTCAACCATTGGTCAACCACTGATCACCCATTGGCCAACCAGGCTGCCGTTGGTGTTCTTGGCCACCGGCGTGCACTGCAGCCTCACCATCACCCATTGGTCAACCATTGGTCAACCTGTTGGCCGGCAGCACGCAGTACTGGCTCGCAGTTGCCCTGTTGGCCACTGCAACTTCATCCTTGGAGCTCCTTCTCCGTTCGGGTCGCTGCGTCAGGCCGGAGGCAGAGCAGCGCTTCCCGCAGCCTCGCTGTCCCCACAGGTGGACCGCATGTCCTTCCCCTGCGGCTGCTCGCGGGACGGCTGCGGGAACATGGCCGGCCGCATCGAGTTCAACCCCATCCGCGTGCGGACTCACTACCTCCACACCATCATGAAGCTGGAGCTGGAGAACAAGCGGCAAAGCGCGCGGCCCGGCGACGAGGAGCTGCAGGGCGCCGGCAGCTCGTGGCCCCCCGGCACGCAGCCCCCTGAGACGCAGGACTTCCAGGAGTTCATGGCCGAGAACGAGACAGCCGTCATGCACCTGCAGACCGCCGAGGAGCTGGAGAGGCTGAAGGCCGAGGAAGACTCCAGCGGCGGCTCCGGCGTGGAGAGCGTCGGCGTCTGCATCCTGGAGGAGCCGCTGGCCGTGCCGGAGGCGCTGTGCCCGGGGTTGGCGGCCCCGATCCTCATCCAAGCGCAGCTGCCGCCGGGATCCTCCGTGCTCTGCTTCGCCGACGGCGCCGAGCAGCCGGCGGCCGCGCAGCCCTACTTGAACGCCGCTCCGCTGCTGTACTACCAGGTGGAGCCGCGCTCCGCGCCGGGCCCCAAGGGCGAGAACGGTGCCGACGAGCGCCCCAAGGACACCGGGACCGACGCCACGGCCCCCGCAGCGCCGTGCAGCCGCGCCGCCCCGAGCAAAGGGGACGGGGCGAAGGGCGCGGGGCCGGAGGGCGCGCAGAGCTGCGCTGCGTCGCTGGGCCCCGCGGCGCCCCGCGAGGCGCCCGGCCCCGAGGAGCCCCCCCGGGGGGTGTGAAGCCCCCCGCACGTTATTTATTGAGGAGATTCCAAGGCGCGGCGCTGCCCCGAATGGGGAGGGAGGGAAGGGAGGAGGAGCGGGGACCGCTCAAACGGATGGCGGCACGCGGAGCGCCGAGGGGACGGACGGACAGACGCGCGGACAGACGCGCGGGCACGGAGCCCGTGGGGCTGCAGTCCTGCTTGGGGCACCGAGACGGACGGACGCACGGACACCGCGGGCCGCGTCCCCGCGGAGCTGCTTGGGGCGCCCTGTGCTCAGCGGTGCCCGCTTCTCCCCGCTGCCCACCCAGGGCCCCTCCTCCTTTTTGTCTTGGACACAGAAGACTTTGGGGTGGTTTGTGTTTTGTTTTTGGTTTTTTGTTGTTGTTGATTTTTTTGGGGTTTTTTTTGTTTGTTTGTTTGTTTTTTAATTATTCTTTTTTGTATTCTTTTGTTTTTGTTTTTTAATTATTCTATTTTTTTAACGTGCTGAATGTTTACGGGGCCGCACCGCAGCCCAGCGCCTCCCCACCCCCACAGGGAACCCCACAGCCGCTCCAGTTGCACAGAGAGGGGTGAGAACGCAGACACGGACGCTCCTGGAACCGCTCCGACCCCCTTTGCTCACCGCTTTCACCCCCAGGACCTGCAGCCGTCCGCCCGTCCCCAGGACTGCAGCCCTGCTCTGCGCTCCCAGCGCCGAAGCTTCGGGCTTTGCCATCCTCCTCCTCCCCCCCGGCTGAGACGCCCAGAGACGGAACCGGGACCGACTCGGCACAGCGGTGCTTTTCTCCCTTGCGTTCGTTTTGCTTCCACGCTCTCCGCTGCCGAGGTGCTGCGACCCGTCGTGCCGCACCGAGGGGCGGCGTTGGGGCAGGGGCCGCCCGGTGCCCCGCAGCACCGCTCCGTCCCCACACTTCGGTCCCCACAGCAGCTCCAAGCGCTCCCCCTGCCCCCCCCCGCTCTGTGCCCCCTCCCCGGGCGCAGTGGGTGCTTTCCCCCCCTCTTCCCTCGCACACCGCCGGCGGTTTTCATTTCTATTCCACTGTGAATCCAAAGCTGTGTCGGGTCCTCCCTGTTATTATTATTATTTTAGCTTTTTTACGGTTTTGTTTTGTTGGGTTTTCGTTTGTTTGTTTGTTTTTCCCCACGGTGAGAATGCTGTATTTAAAAAGAGAATATTTAAAGAGTAACAAATAAAGGAGGCTCCGAGCCGCAGGGCGCAGAGCGAGGGAAAGCGCAGCCGGGGGGGGGGGGGCACGGGGGCACCGGCCTCAGCCACAAACGGGGCGGGGGGGGGGGGGGGGGTGCCTTTAATTAATGGGGCTGGGATGGAGGTGGGGATGGGATGGGGGTGGAATGGAATGGGGGTGGAATAGGGGTGAAATGGGGATGGGATGGCAGTGGGGTGGGATGGAATAGGGAGAGGGATGGGAGGGAGGTGGGGAGGGCATGGAAGGGGGTTGGGGAGGGGATAGGGATGGGATGGGGGTGAAATGGGATGGGGGTAGAATAGGGATGAAATGGGTGTGGGGATGGGATGGGGTGGGGGATGGAATAGGGATGGAAAGGGGGTTGGGATGGGATGAAATGAGGGTGGGATGGGGGTGGGGATGGAATGGGAGGGAATAAGGATGGGAGGGGATGGGGTTGTGGGTGAAATGGAATGGGGATGAAATGGGGATGGGATGGGGGTGGGGATGGGATGGAGGTGGGGATGGGATGGAGGTGGGGTTGTGGGTGGAATAGGGATGAAATGGGGCTGGGAATGGAATAGGATGGGGGTGGGAGTGGAATGGTGATGGGGTGGAATGGGGTTGAGATGGGGCTGAGGATGGGGCGCTCCAGCGGTGGTGTCACACAACAGGCCGAGCCACGCTGCTGCTCCACTCCTTGCAGAGCAGCATGGAGCTTAACGAGGCACAGCTTAACGAGCAGAGGGGCAGAGCTCAACAGCGCTGCACCAAATGTGATGCCGTCGCACCAAAACTCAACGACACCAATGCAGAACTGAGTTCAGAGTCAGAGCTCAATGGGGTCCATCCAGAACTCAGTGACCCCCGTGCAGAACTTGATGGAATCAACAGAAAATCTACTGCTGGAAACATGATGGCATCACATCAAAACTCAACGACACCAATGTGGGACTCGATGGCATCAAATCAAAGCTCAACACCAACGTGGAACTTGATGGCATCAGGGCAAATCTCAACTGCAATGCAGAAAATGGCACCAATGCAAAACCCAGTGATGTCGAGGCAAAACTCAACAACCCCAAGAACTCAATGCCACTGCAGGACTTGAGGACATCAAAACTCAGCGCTGATGTGGGACTGGACATCAAGTCCAAATTCAGTGACATCAATGCAGAACTCAGCGATGTCAAAGCAGAACTGACGACGTCACATCGAAACTCAGCAACACCAAAAGAGCTCAGCGACACCAAAACAGAACTCGATGGTTAATGCAGAACTCGATGACATCACATCAAAACTCAGTGACACCAAGGCAGAACTCGATGACACCACATCCAACACAATGACATCAGTACAGAACTCGACACCATGTCCAACTCAGTGACACCAACGCAGAACTCAACACCACGTTGGCCCCGCATCCTGAATGGGGACATTTGTATCTCCCCCTTCCCCCCCAGTGCAGCGGTGACCCCCTGGATCCCACGTGGAGCGCAGGGTCCCATCCCCAGCCCCAAACCCTCTGTGAGGAGCAGCGATGCGCAGAGCTGAGCCCAGTCCCTGCTGGGGGGGTCGCGGGGTGGGGGGACGCCCGTTCCCCCCACAATAAACATGTAAAGTGCTGCAGCGGCCATGGGGGAACAGAGGCGCAGGGCATCTCCCTGACGGGGTGCAGGGACGCAGGGCTGCCATCCTCCACTCTTCAGTGCCTCCCGTCCTGCTCTTGCTGACCCCCCCAGAGGTGGGGGGCACAGAGCAGCGCCACAGCAGACAATCAGCGCCGCTCATTGCTTCGCTCCTGCATAGTTGAGGGACAGCAGCACCATGCTGTTGGCCAGCAGGGATGCCTCGGAGGCTGCAATGGGAGAGAGGGAGGCTGAGGGGGTCCTGTGCCCCCCATTGAGCCCCTCAGGTCTGTTTGGTTTCCCCTTGTGTTGGGCGGGCTCAGTCTGTACCCACAGGGATCCCCTCCCTCAGAGCGGGTTGGGGGGGGACAAAGGCTGAATTCCACAGGATGACTGGGATGGGAAGGTCCTGAAAGATCTTAGAACCACAGGATGGTGGCATTGGAAGGGTCCTTAAAGGTCCCAAAACCACAGATAGGGTTGGAAGGGTCCTGAAAGATCATAAAGCCGTGGGACGGTTGGGTTGGGATGGCCCTGAAAGGGCCCTGAAAGATCCCAGAACCAGGGGATGGTTGGAATGGAAGGGTCCTCGCAGCCCCCCCAGTCCCAACTCACACTCTGGGCTGCTCCCACCTCCCCAGCAGCCACCCTGGGCCCCATTCACGGCCCTGAGCCCCTCCTGGGATGGGGGACCCCCACCCCACACACACACACACACAGCTCCCTCCCCTTCTCCCCCAACCCCCCCGTGGCGCAGGGTCACTCCCCCTCCCCCCCGCACACCTTGCAGCACGCAGGACAGCCTCAGCCACTGCTCCAGCCAGGCTCTGCACTGCGCCGCACTCAGCCGTGCGGGGTTCAGGCCCCGCAGGTAACAGGCCTGCAGAGGGGAGGAAGGGGGTCAGCACCCAAAATTCCCAACTGCGGGATGAGGGAGGAGGCCGGGACCCCGCCAACCCCCAGCCGGGGGGTCTCTCACCGCTCTGAGCTCCTCCTCGGAGAGCTGTGCCAGGCCCAGGCGAGCCAGCGCGCGGTCCAGGTGCCGGATCTCCAGGAGGTGGGAATGCAGGCGGCGCCGCACCAGGATGGCGGGCAGCAGAGGAGTCAGGAACAGCACGCGGCTCAGCGCCCGCTGCGGGACGGCACGGCGTGGGGACGGGCACCAGGCATGGAGTGCGGGGGGGTGGGACATGGGACAGAGCAGAGATGGAGGGCACAGAGAGGGGCAGAGAGCGTGGCACAGGGTGGGCATGGAATGGGACATGGGGTGTGGAATAGTACAGGGGACACAGCATGGAGCAGGGACTGACTGGGACAAGGGGCATGGAATGGAGTGGCACATGGGATGGGAAACAGGGCATGGGACAGAGTGGAGATGTGGAGCACAGAGAGGGGCACAGGGCATGGCATGGGGTGGGGTGGGGATGGAATGAGACATGGGGCATGGAATGGAATGGGACACAGCATGGTGTGGTGCAGGGATTGACTGGGACAAGGGGCACAGCAGGGAGTGGGGATGTGGGGCATGGCATGGGACACAGAGCATGGGATGGTGCAGGGACTGACTGGGACACGGGGTATGGCATGGAGTGGAACATGGGGTGGGACACGGGGCATGGGACAGTGGGCACAGAATTGGACAGGGAACGGCACTGAGTGGGGATGGAATGGGACACGGCACGGCACAGAGAGGGGAACAGAACACGAACGGGGCATGGTGCGGGGCACGAGGTGGGGCAGGGATGTGGGGCACAGAGAGGGGCATGGAATGAGGCACAGAGCAGGACGTGGAGTGGAGCACAGAGTGGGGCACTGGAGCATAGCATGGAGCGGGGATGGAGTGGGACGTGAGCATGGCACAGCGTGGGGCACAGACTGGGACACAGAGGTGGGGCAGGACGCTGAGGGGCATGGAGTGGGGCACGGGGTACATACAGCACGGGGGGGGGATGGAATGAGGTGGGGGTGTTGAATGGGGCACAGAGAGGAACATGGAGTGGGACAGGGGATGGCGCACAGGGTGTGGGATGGGGCCCAGAGTGGGACACGGGTCATGGAATGGAACAGGGCACGGGGCAGGAGACGGGACTGGGACACGGCGTGGGGCACGGGGTGTGACATGGGATGGGGCACAGAGAGGACATGGGGCACGGAATGGGGCACAGCGTGGGGATGGAACGAGACACAGGGTGCGG